TTTGCCAAATGTTTTTATATTAAAGAAAAATAAAACAATGTATGAACTTGATATGCATCTTTGGTTGTTATTGAAATGTTCCTCAAACAGTGTTTTATGCGAAGTAACTTTAGAGAAAACATTGTCAGCCAAAAAGCCTGAATGACAGCAAGATGACAAGTATTTTCTTATGCCAGATGTTTTTATAATGAAGAAAAGTAAAACAATGTATGAACTTGATATGCATCTTTGGTTGTTATTGAAGTGTTCCTCCAACAGCAAGACAGTAGTAGGTGAGAAATGTGATAATGCATGAGATAAGTTCAATTTTTTATTGATTCCTGACTAAACTTCCACACTAACATAATAGCATTTGAAAAATAAAACTTCTCAACTTAAGAAATACTGTGACATGCTACATAATTCATAATAGTAATATAAAATATAATCAAGTATTAAAATCAGTCTTATATAGGAAAGGGACATTTTCCTAAATGTAAAAATGGTAACAATATAGTTATGTAAAGCAAAACAGCCAGCCAAGCAGATTACTTGCCAAATGAATACTTGTGGTAATCCCTCCACAAATATTTATTCTCAATGGCTGGGCGGTAATAATCTTCATAAAACTTGACAAGATTTAAAAGCATAGAGCTGATAAAATTCTCTTTTCTGTCAATACGAATCACTTTAAAATCTTTGAATGTGTACACAACAAAATCACAGAATGATTTGTCTGTCACAAGCATGTGTCCTTGAACTTGATAGTAAAAACGATGAGTCTTCTTCAGCTTTAGTAAACTTGGATTTTTCTTGGACTTGACAAGGAAGTCCTGGTTTTGAGGCCCAATAGGCAGGTTTCTGTGAGTATACGGACATTTCACTTCACCAAGACCATCTGCTCCAACCAGGAAGTCTGGAGAGGCACCCAGAAATGGGTGAGATTCCATTATTACCAATCCAGAACACTTTACGTCAACACCAGGATTGTCACGCTTGTATCTGGCTATGGCAACACTTTCATACTTTAGCCCATGTGCCATAGCACGAGAAGTAGCTTTCACACGTATCAGCTTAGAGACAGCCTTTGCAACTGGATCTTCATTATGTATAGCTTCGTAGAACCAGGAGGCTGTGATTCTGACTTCTCTTACATTATGCCACAAAGGAGACTCACTCTGCTTTTGTGTCTCCAGTTCAATCTTCTCAATCTCTTCGGTGGTTATTTCTTTTAATCGAAGGTGATTCAGAAGAATATCACGGGAGGAAAACTTGCTATAGGTGTGGTCGGAGTCAATAGCATAAGGATTAGCAGGCTCTATCAGATGCTTCAATGGCATTGTAGAATTAAATCCTCCATTCAGAATTAAATTTCTGAAGTAAGTCTGGTAATTTTTCATTTCTTCCTCACTTTCCTGAACAGGCTCTAAACCAAACTGACCTCCCTGCCCTTTCATCTGCCTTGCTTTCAGGGGTGTTCCTTTAAATTTCTTGGTAGGGTGGTGGAAAGTTTGTAGTTGCTGCGTACATGTTTCGTCAGTAGTTACAATGCCTTCTATCTTCACATGGGCAACAGCTAGCAACACAACACTAACATGCTTGCAATGTGCCTCACCACTGCTCTTGCCATGAGTACACTCACAAGTCGCACCCACAACTTCCCCATCACTCAACAGCTTGCAGTAGACATTGTACTTGTCAACCTTCTTCATTTCAGCATAGCATATTCCATAAATGAAAGTGAAGTTATCTAAAAAAGAAAAAGACATTCTGTATTAGTCTAATAGGACAATATTTTAAAAGCATCATAAAAATAGATTGTTTACACTACACACCTTGCTGGCAGTAACGTATCACTTCAAGAAACCCTTCTTGGTACATTCCCTCCGCTGGACCAATACTCTTCTTAAACAAAGACAAATACAAGACAATGTCGTCTTTGCTGAAAGGAGGCAGGGTTGAGTTGGCATTGATGTCTTTAAACTTGTCACGAGTTGGTGAGTTTAGGACATCAACTAGCTCAACTGTGTCGTCACTGGGCGTCACATTAAAATCTGAGTTAGTCTCATAATACACAAGTCTGCAAAAGAAAACAATTCATGAAATTGAATAGGTCAATGTAAAGGATACATACATGAAGATTAAGTACACAACACACCTGTCCAGTAACGTAGATTTCTTCCCCGTTATCAAGGCTCCTGGCTTTTGCCTCAATAGCTCCTTCAACTCATTTACTTTCAAACCACTGAATCGAGCCCGAAGAGCATTCTGTCTCTCCTCGATGGAGAGATGGACGTCCCCGTCGTCTCTCCCGTCATCGATCACATTCCTGTTATTATTGTTGTCGATAGCAGAGACGAGCCTAGAAGCGACCGAAAGAGCCACCCATTAAACAAGAGTTTTCACAGAGCGAAATAAACTATGATACATGATTCGGTCAGGAAGTAAGCAAAATTGTTTGAAGTTGCCAAAACTAATGCTGCACTAGCATGCCAACCGCAGTTAAAAGATTAACAACTACTTTAAAATACAGTAAAAGCGACGCCTACCGTGACAGGAGCTGTGTCTTATTGCCCGTCGTGCTGAGTTTTCTTCTCCGAAGTTCACCCTGTAACTGCGGAGAAGGCTTCTCCCCCCAAAAGTCTTCACAGACTTTTGACGGCATGACGTTGTCAACCGATAATATTAGAATTACCAGCGAAATGAAAGCCACGAGGCGATATACTAAACTAAACCACATGGTTGAGCGAGGTTCGGTCGACATGACGGCCGCGCGTGTCCGAACGGTTTATTTCTCATAGTGGACCGGGAGCGTGCTGCCCCCTAGCGGCCGGAGCGAGAAGCAGCCCCGCCGCTCAGGCCTCATTGTTTGTGTCTCGGCCCAATGTGGTATGCCCGAAAGAGTTTGGCTTTGATAGTCAGGAGGTCGAAGAGGTCTCTGTTGTTGCTGGTGCGAGCTCCAGCCAAAGATGTAGTACTGGCAGTTCCAGCTCCAGGAAGCAGCTGCCCAGATACAGGAGTGGCAAGTACGCACCAATAATGATTTGCATAATTTGTCTGTTCCTCATTATCAAATTTTATTGATAAACCCTTCTTTCTTCAGGTGGAAAGACCGCCACTCAGCTCTCCAGGGTCTGAAAGACCTAACGGTTATGTTCCTTCAGAGCAGTCTGCAGCCAGCTTCAACTATGTTCCTCCATCAGCAACAGCCAGCCTCAATCAGCCAGCAACCTACCTCTTTCAATTTTAACAACCCTGCACCAGTTCCTTGTCTGTCTATATCCCGTTTTATTTCCCCCGTTTCCCTCCAGACTCCTTTATCTATTAATTTCTCCATGGTTTCTCAAGCATCATCAACACCCCGTCCCCAACCTATCACCCTATAAAATAAGAATTATCGCGTGGCTTTAGTGAAAGGTGGAAAGATTATGGATGTTAACGGCCAAAATCACTAGAATCACAAGAATTAAAGGTACTCAAAATAAAAATTGATATACTTTATCTCTTATCATTTCTCAACCATTTTACACCAAGTTCATGGAAAAATATTTCATATTCATGAGAGAATAATAGAGCCTAGTGTGGGGTGCCCATTTATTTTTGAACAATTTGCCGTTCCCTGATTGAGGGCAATGGTATGCACTTAGCGGCATCCTGCATCTGTTGGAGTGGTCCACCCGGGTAAATCGTTACGCCTAGTTTTTACAACATGCACGTGTGACGCAGGCCGGCAGGCCCATGCTCGGGAACGGCCGACGAGGGTCCAAGCACAAAATGCCCATTGCCACCCTTTTTCTCTCCAAAATGGTTATTGCGTACCTCCGGCCCAATCGGCTGACATTTGCAAACAAGCCCGTCCCCGCTTTGCGGAGACAAAGGAGCTCAGAGCCGGAGGGACCGCGAGAGAGAGAGAGGCGCGGCGCATTCCTTAAAAACTCAAAGGCAGACCGACCCCGTAGCGAGTCACAACGTGCAAGTTGCTAATAGGCATGCCCGGGCCGATGGGCGCGTTGTTGTTTGCTTGCAGAGCCACCGCCCTCCCCTCCCCTCCCCTCCGTTCACCCTGGCCGTTCCAGGCGCGTCCCTGAAGACTCCAGTAAGACCAGTAGCTTTTCCAAGGAGTCTCAGGCTGACGCCCACCAGCCTCGCCTCTTAGTGTTTAAGTCACCTTAGAGTAAGTTCAAGAGCACACCGCATCACCTGCACCTCGGCGTAGGGCTGTGCGATATTCGGGAATACCGAAACGATATCGGTATTTTTTTTTTACCGATGCTTCGGTATTTTAAATTTCTGCAATTCGGGAACGATATTTCGATATTATCGAAATATCGAAAAATACCGATTGTTTGGGGATTTCGGTATTTCGGTATTTCGATATTTCGGTATTTCCATAATACGGAGAATTTGGTACTCTGGCGGCCTGTTGGCGTCAAGAAGGGCTGCACGACGGGGCTTTGGGCACATCTGAGGGTCCACCACATTTTCGAGTACCAGGCCCTGAAGTTAACT